CTTAGTTGAGATCATAAATAAAATACGTTCAATGTTTAAAAACAGAGCCACAATTAAAGTTTAATAATGTCTTCAAAAAGAGCCACTATTGGACCTTAAGTGGTGCTATAAATAAAACTATAAGAATAAGTTTCGAATAGATCTTTTTAAAACCTTTATAAGTAACACAAATAGAGGCAGAATTTAAGTTTAATTTGGACAATAAGCCATTACTAAACATTAATTTGGTTCACAAATAGAGTCAAAATTGAACCGTAATTGTTCTCATAGATAAGGACACGATTGCAACTTAATTAGTTCATCAAAAGGAGTCCCAAAATTAAACCATAAATACCACCCACTGGTGCTGTTTAAAGTGAGTCACAATAGATGCTTAATTAGAAACAGAACTAGAACCAGGATTGCAATTCAGAAATAGAATCCTAAAGGAGATCAGAAATAGGCCACAAGTTATATTTGAACCATAAATAGAAACGGGACTTAACTTTCATTGGGATAACAAATAGACTATTTAAGAAACCTTAATTGGAGCCACACATAATCTCTTGATTATGGTTTAATTAAAGTCACTATTAAACCTAAATTGGGATCACAAATAGATCAACTATTGAATCTTAATTGAAAACACAAATAAAGCCCTGATTAAATATATTAAATTGATCCTTAAAGAGAGCTAAGATTGTACCCTAATAAGGATTCAAATTACATACATGTTTGGAGGATTGAATGCCAACTCAATAAATTTCAGTTACAAATACAGCCTCGATTAAAGCCTGATTTGAGATAATTGGCATCACAATTAAGTCTACGATTGAATAGAGTCAAGTTTAGATGACAAAATCGAGTCATTATTAATGATTAATTAGAACTTCAAATAGAGCAAATTAATCATTAATAATGACTCGATTTGTCATTAATAAGGGACTCTATTTGAAGACCTATTTGAATTTCAATCGTGAACTTCAAATAGAGCAACAATTGATGCATACCCAGCAAAGTAGGGAGTTAGATAAGTACTTACTAAGATCGCCTGCAAATAACAGGTTAAATAAGTAGTTTTATAATGCTTAGTATATGTAGTAGTCATTGAAAAGTAATTAAAAGTCATTAACATGTTTTTGCTGGATAAACAATATGTTGCCAAAGTTTCAAAGTTAGTGACATAACTATAAGCAACATGTTTCCAATATTCAAATAAACATTGAAACGATTTAAACATCAACATGTTGCCTCAAAAACTTATTTACTTTCAATACAACATTTTACATAAATAAATCACAAAAAAACTTAACTTTTTTTGTTAAAAAAAAAGAAATCTCTCATTATCTCAATAGCATCTCTAACTAACCCACACTTTCATTAACATACAACTTAAACAAAATATGTTTAATTATTATTTAAATTAGTTTTAAAAATTTTTTGTTCAACAAACAATTTGTTTTCGTAATTTCACTCTTTAAACCAGATTATTACGAAATATAAATAAGTTCATCATACATATAAATATATTAATCATTTACATTTATGGACAACAGCATATTTTTCCGCATATTTCTTCACACATATTTAACAGTTTTATTTTCAATATAAAAAAAATTTTATAAAATATTTTTTATTTTTTTTTTTCAAATTTTTTTTTTTTGGGGTTTACTAATGAACGATTTCACAAAAATTAGCATTCATTAATAATTAATCGTTTAGGAAAATAGAAAGTGTTTTTATACAGCTTTTTTCTTGTATTTTAATAGTTGGACATTTGAATTATTGAAATATTTTTTATAGATATTATATAAATTAATAAAGTAAATATTTTTTCAAAATAGTTATATAGGTTGAAAATTAATAGGTTTATTGAACAAGTTATTTTAATGTTTTTTTATTTATATAAGTTGTAATTTAAATTTAAACAAAAAACAATCATTAGTATTTAATAGTGACTTTACTAATTTAAATATGATTTGAGTTTTGTGACGTAATAGAAAACTTTAATAGTTTAAACATTAACTCATTAATAGTTTAGAGTAGTGAGTGTTTGTTATGCATGATGAATTAATAGTAACTGTTTAGTTTTAGAAATTTTTAAAAATAAGTTTCATAAAATTATATTGGGATGCCACAGTTGTAACGACCTTGAAATATTAATTAATCAATCTGTTGTTTAGACAAGTTTATTATAAAATCAGGTCAGGTTTACTTAAATTGCCATTTTAAGGGAAATGTTTTGAAGAGAAGGAATGCCTATAGCGCATCGATGAAAGTTTAATTAGAACTTTCAATATGGCTGTGATTAAAGCTTTATTGGAAACACAAATAAAGCTACGTTTCAAGTTTAAATAAGGTTGGAAATAAGATTAAAGCTTAATTGGGACCATAAAAAAGCTACCATCAAAGTTTAATTAGAATTACAAATGGAGTCATCATCAAAGTTTAGCTTAGTCTATATACAGAGCTTTGATTGGAGATTAATTAGGATTATAAATTGATGATTTAAGTTTAATAAGAACTGGATATAGAATCATAATAAGAGATTAACAAGAGGCATTGAAATTTCTTGATTAGAGTTTTATAACAACTATACAAATAACTTACGATTGAACTTTGATTAGAACTTAGAATAGAGACATGATTAATGTTTACTTAACGCACAGATGAAGTTACATTAAGCCTGCAAATAAAGACTTAATCGAGGCATAATTAGAACTCAAATAAAACCTCCATTATACCTTTAATTTAACCCAGAAGTTGAGCCATGATTAAAGTATAATTAAAACCACAAATAAAGCCAGGTTTGAAGATTAACTAGGGTTTTAAATAAATAAACAAATGAAGTTTTGTTAGAGAAAAAGCTGAAGCTTTATTACGACTTTAAATAGAGCAATATTAAAAGCAAATCTAGACTTCCTTTGGAGCACAAATAGAGCAGAAATTAAAGTTTTATTAAAACTATAAATAGAGGTCCCATTAAACCTTTATTGGAACAACAATGAAAGCTTAAAATTAAAGTTTAAATACAACTATAAATGAATCCAAGACTAAGGCTTAATTACTATTTCAAATATAGCAATAACTATAGCTTTTTAACGTCTATAGATAGAGCCAAAAAAAGCTCAAAGTTTGAAGCATATTTAGGACTCTAAATAAAGTCACGATAGAAGCTTTTTATACAATAAATAAAAATTTAAGTTTGGAACTATAACTGAAACAAAGACTAAAACTTAATAACGATTTCAAATAGAGCGTTAACTAAAGCTTTTTTGGGTCTATAGATAGAGCTAAGAAAACTCAAAGTTTAAAACATTTTTAAGACTCTAAATAAAGTCACTATAGAAGCTTTTTATAATAAATGAAACCAAGCTATAACTGAAGCTTTTAAGAAGCTATAGATAGAGCCAAAAAGGTTTAAAGCTTGAAACATATTAAGGGCTCTAAATAAATTCACGATAGAAGCTTTTTATACAATAATTAAAAATTTAAGCTTTTAAGGTCTATAAATACAACCAAAAAAAGATCAAAATTTGAAGCATATTTAGGACTCTAAATAAAGTCACGATAGAGGCTTTTTATAAAGAACTAAAATAGACCCACAGCAGAAGCTTAGTAATATCTAATGGAAGCTTAATTAAGATTATAAATATGTATATAAAAACTTAATTGTGATTATAGAAAAAACACAATTAAACCTTACATAATTAAGACTTAAATAAAACCATAACTAAAGCTTAACTGGAGCTTTAAAAAGAGCATAGGCAAAGCTTAATTTAAACTATAACAATAGTAACGGCTGAATCTAATTTTAAATAAAAGTTTGAAGATTGTTCAGAACATAGAATAAAGCCACGATTGAAGCTTAATAGTGACTAAAATAGAGCCACAGTAAAAGCTTAATGAGGGCTTAATGCAGGGCTTTAATAAAAGTTTAATTAAGTTCATAAATACAGCTACGATAAGAGCTTACATAAGACTAAAATTTAACCATAACTAAAACATAACTGAAGCTTCAAACGAAGTAATGAAGAAAGCTCAAACGGAAGCATGATCAAAGCTTAATTAAGGCAAATAAAGGCAAATGTTAGAAGGTTGTATAGAACTAAGAATAAAGTTACAATTTAAACTTAATAATGACAAAAATAGAGCCACAGCTGAAGCTAAATAAGAGTAACATACAGAGCTTTGATAAAAGCTTAATTAATTTGAGATACTTTGATTAAAGCTTAATTCTGATTATAGAAAGCACATTTAAATTTTAATTAAAAGTATAAATGGAGCTACAGTGGAAGCTCTATTAAGACTAAGATTCAACCAAAACTAAAGCTTAACGGAAGCTTTCAAAGAAAGCAATGAAGGCTCTACAAAAAGAACTACAGCTTAAAGTATTTTCTGGAAATTAAAACAAAGATTTGAAGATTATTTAAAACTTAGAATAAATTCAAAACTAATTTTTAGTTTGAAAACGATTTGAGAACATCATTTAAGAAACTATATAGATAAGATATCAGGCTAAATTTGAGATTTCTTTGATAATTGTCTTAAATATGTATTTAAAGAAATGTTTTTATTTCAAACATATTTAGTATTTTTCAAACATATGCAAACATTTGCTCATGATCATAGCACTCAAAAGTAGATAGAAAAGAAATGATCGCAGCTTCATGAATTCATTAACAAGATCACTGCAATATCAAAATAATTTTCTTCCAAATAGTAGTTTTATTCTTCAAACTAGTTATTATCATAGACAACAACAAACTTTTCAATTTCACAGACGACCTAAATTTATAAATTTATGTAACTAACAACAACAGGTTAAAACATGTAGATCCATAATGATCATCTTAAAATAAACCGGAACTTGTTTTTCAATTGACCAGACTTCTTTCTTTTAACATTACATACATAATTTTTATTTAATTACTTAAAATAATGACATTATAAATTCAAAATTAGTTTTTTTTTGTTTCTTCAGATTATATAAGTCTTATTTGTATTATAGTAATTTTTACCTAAATAAAACACTTGTAATCCACAAAATGTATTTAACACAAAATGAAGTTTCACTCTTGTTGTTGTTTTTAGTTATTTTCAAAAGAAAATATTTAATTTCTTGTAAGTTGTCAAAATGACAGTGTCAAAATTATATTAACACTAATAATAATCAAGATCGTTTTAAGTTAAGCGCACGTAGGTTTTAACGCTTCGCGTTGAGAATTAAAACTAAATTGAATTGTAGCGATCGAACCCAGATATTGATGGTCAAAACAGCAACTGGCAAAGCCAACATTAAAAGCGGCCGTAGAAAGAAAGAAGAAAAGAAATTTTAACTTAAGCTTAAGGAAGACAAACAGACAGACAGACAAGACACTGACTGGCTTAATGACGGAATCTATTACATGTGAACGTACAAACGTGTGTGTATGATTTTGGAACGGGGTTTTGTTTTTGTTGCCTTTACTTACAGCCAGTTCGTTTAATTTCTTTGTTGGATGACATTTACCTTGTTTTGATGTTTTTAATGATCGTTGTTGGTTTGTTGCCAATGTTTTAGTCATTCAGGTTTGAAGCCAACATGTTGCATTCGCTTGTATTGAAAACTTCTTTTGATCTTCATTTATATTTGTTTCGTTTTTTCCCCATTTAACGGTCACCTTTATGGGCACGTACTATCAGGTGGTTATACCAACTTTATATTGGAATTTGGCCAGCAGCTGAAAGTAAGGCATGTTGTATTTATTGTATGATTGTTTGTACATTTGTACTCTTTATTTTATGTTTATTAAACAATACTATACAATAAAAAGATATAACTCTATTAAAGTCGTATTAAATTAGTAAACGGAACATGTCTACGTTAACTAGTACTCATTGAGATGCCAGATTTTAGAATTTTGGGTAAAATTTGAGAAAGAATTTTCAGCAAAATTTCAAAAATAATTAATTAAAATTAAATTGCCATTCTAAGGGAAATTTTCTGAAGGAGTTAAACTTAACTCCTTAGATACTGGTTTAAATTTAGTTTAAAATTTGGTTCGAATATAAAACTTTTTTCTAAAACCTATTTGGCATCTCTGTTTTCCAAGTAAATAACCTCTATTTCATCAATATAAAAACGTTATTTAATTTCACTTACAATTATGCCGTTTGACGAAATGAGTTCATGTTTTAAATAAAATTAAATTATGAGAACAAAATTTGCTATATTTTCTGATCTGAATTTAAAAACACAATAATACGACTTTAGTTTATTATACGAAAATAAACTGTACAATAATGTAAAATATTTTATTAACAACATTATCAAATAGCTCATGCGTTAAGAAATCTTTGAAGCAGCATTTCTATTTTTACTTTTTTTAAAAAACAAAGAATGGCGAGAATTAAACAAATATAAACCAGAACAATCCACAACAAATCCAAAATTATTTTTTTATTTTTAAATAGAAATAATGAATGAAAAGAGTTATGAAAAAGTAATATAGACCAGAGGTTAGCTTTAGCAGCAGCCAACCCAGACCAGACCACACCAGCCAACATCTTTCAGCTAAACTATTTTATGATTCCCACAAAATGTTAATTAACCATGAGTTAGTTTTTATCTGGGTGGTTTTAATTTTGAGAAGATTTGTAGCACATTATTTAGGAAAAGAAGTTTAAAGGAATGAAATTGTTAAAGAAAAAATTAAAAAAACAAATTCAGAAAATTTTCTATAAAAAGAGAAATTTTCCGAAAATTTTTTATAAAAAGAGAAATTTTCCGAAAAATTTCTATAAAAAGAGAAATTTTCCGAAAATTTTTTATAAAAAGAGAAATTTTCCGAAAATTTTTTATAAAAAGAGAAATTTTCCGAAAATTTTTTATAAAAAGAGAAATTTTCTATAAAAAGAGGAATTTTCCAAAAATTTTCTATAAAAAGAGGAATTTTCCAAAAATTTTCTATAAAAAGAGGAATTTTCCAAAAATTTTCTATAAAAAAAGGAATTTTCCAAAAATTTTCTATAAAAAAAGGAATTTTCCAAAAATTTTCTATAAAAAGAGGAATTTTCCGAAAATTTTCTATAAAAATAGAAATTTTCCGAAAATTTTCTATAAAAATAGAAATTTTCCGATAATTTTCTATAAAAAGAGAAATTTTTCGAAATTTTTCTATAAAAAATAGAAATTTTCCGAAATTTTTCTATAAAAAATAGAAATTTTCCGAAATTTTTCTATAAAAAATAGAAATTTTCCGAAAATTCTCTATAGAAATTGAAATCTTCCGAAAATTTTATATAAAAATAGAAAATTTCCGAAAATTTTCTATAAAAAATGGAAAATTACCGAAAATTTTCTATAAAAAAATAGAAATTACCGAAAATTTTCTATAAAAAATAGACATTTTGCGAAAGTTTTCTAAAAAAAATAGAAATTTTGCGAAAGTTTTCTAAAAAAAATAGAAATTTTGCGAAAGTTTTCTAAAAAAAATAGAAATTTTGCGAAAGTTTTCTAAAAAAAATAGAAATTTTGCGAAAATTTTCTAAAAAAAATAGACATTTTGCGAAAGTTTTCTAAAAAAAATAGAAATTTTGCGAAAATTTTCTAAAAAAAAATAGAAATTTTGCGAAAATTTTCTAAAAAAAAAAATAGAAATTTTGCGAAAATTGTCTAAAAAAAATAGAAATTTTGCGAAAAATTTCTAAAAAAAAAATAGAAATTTTGCGGAAATTTTCTATAAAAATAGAAATTTTGCAAAAATTTTCTATAAAAATAGAAATTTTGCGAAAATTTTGAGAAAATTTTCTATAAAAAATAGAAATTTTCCGAAAATTATTTTTAAAAATAGAAATTTTCTAAAAATTTTCTGTAAAAATATAAATTTTCCGAAAATTTTCTATAAAAATGGAAACTTTTCTATAAAAATAAAAAATTTTCTATAAAAATAGAAGTTTTCTGAAAATTTTTTATAAAAAAATTGAAATTTTCTATAAAAATTGAAATTTTCTATAAAAATAGAAATTTTCCGAAAATTTTCTATAAAAAAGGGAAAATTTCTAAACATGTTCTATAAAAATTAGAAATTTTACGAAAATTTCCGAGAGAAATAGAAATTAAAGAAAAAAATTCCTACAAAAAATTAAAATTGAAAGAATGCACCCTTTTAACTCTCTGTTACCATTATGATGGTAATTTTCGTTCTTGTTGTCACTGTTATTAAGGTTTCGTTGTTGTTGTTGTTGTAGCAAGCTTCTTTATTTTTAGTAAAGTTTTTATTTTTGTTTCGTAAGTTTTTTTTTTTTTTTTATACCAAATTTGTAGACAGTGTTAAAGTGTTGGTGTAAAAGTAGTGAATGTGTGTTTTAATAATAAATTTAGCTTTGGGGAAAGTGTTTTTGTTTATACCTGTAGTTATGTGTAGTTTAGTTGTTGTTATTGTCATCAGCCATATTATTAATGTTACCGTTGGTTTTTCGTTAACATTCTTTAGTTCATATTCATGCACATTTTTTTGCTGTGTGTTGTTGGTGTTTGTTATGATTTGTAAACATTCCCTACAAACATTTTCTATTGCGGAAGTTACCCGTATGAAACTTCCAAACGTGCTAAAAGCTCGCCAGCGATGTTGCGGAAGTATACGAATTCTTGTCACCAGTCGGGAAGAACTGATGCCGAGCTGGGGAACGTCTATGAGTAACGTGGAAGATACTTCTGGAAGACCCCCAGAAGAAACTTCTAGATGACTCTTGGAAGTAAGGTATTGCCAAAGACTCTTCTAGATGTAAATAGGAAGTCACTTCTTGAAGTGACTACTTAGTATCATCTAGAAGTGTTCCTATCTTATCTTCTAGAAGATAAGTTTTCTCTTCTTCTAGAAGATGAGTTTTCTCTTCTTCTAGAAGAAGAGTATTCTCTTCTTCTATTTGTATACTCACCAAAATAAAATCTATAAAAATAAATCTAAATAAAATGAAATTTTATAGTTTTTATTGAAATAATTGAAATTAAAATAGTAGAAAAATAATTGATTTAACAACTAATTTAAAAAAAGTAATATATGTATGTACATTAGACCGACTCACAAAAAATGGTGCCTCATAATATTCGCTGTTATGTAATATGATGTTACCCAAAATATTTTCTGTTAAGTGTTGTCCATTATAGTATGTAGTATCATTTGAAAGGTTTTTTGAAGCCAAGTCTAGTGGTGCGCAAAATTGTGCATACATTTTATTTTTTTTTAGTGAAAAACCTAACAATTTTAAATATTTTGGAATATGACAATTATAAAAAGACGGTTATTTATGATTAATACATCATTGGACGCGGCTTTAAAATACCTTTTAAACGATACCCCGTATTGGATATTTTGTTTCAAAACAAACAAAAATTAAAAAAAATAATTCCAAAATACCTTTTTTAATTTGGTCCAGCTCACGAACGGTCATCGCTAGACTTTAAATATTTTCGGAATCATCATAAAACAAAGCAAGGTAAATTTTGAGAGAGGTAACAAAAGCACGTTTTTGCTTTCCATACAGAGTGAGTCGGTTTAATGTACATATGTATCCACAATTTAGAATTATTACCTTATAATAAGATAATTTTCAGGAAATCTGTATTAATATTCCAACTGTTGACTGGTATACTTCCAAAAATTGTAAAACGTTGGACTCTTTTTGTAGTTCTTCATAAATTTTATGATCAATCCATCAAATTGTAAGAGTTATATTTTGGAACGCATTAATCCTTCAACGAAGTAAACAAAAATAATGTTATAATTAATATTTAATATACATACATACTTTTGTATTTATTGAAATTACCTGTTATACTTTAGGAAGCAATAAAAATAGGATTCTCTTATGATCAATACATTTCCCACCGAAATTTAAACGTTCAGATCCATTTTTTACATTTTCTGCAAATAATCGACATTTTTAATGGAACCGCGTGATGAAATAAGACATATATAACTTACCAGATCCCTTTTTTATATTTTAATTCGGTTAGAAGTATTTTAATAGGGGGTACAATATTAGCTACTACTTTCTAAAAAAATAAAATAATTAAAAATTAATTTATTTATTTATTGTTTTTAATCAATAAAAACATTACCTTTCATAAACATTTTTTAAATAACTTGGAATTAAACCATCTATAAAGATCAGAAATTACTAAGCCATGGATTATTTTTAAAATTATTTACAGTCACTAACGATAGAAACACCTTAACGACCCTAAACGGGATATTGCTTTTGACACTAATACTGCAATACTATTTTGCTCTCTTCTAATTAAGGAGTTATA